GGGGTTGTTTGACAGATTGATCACGAACGTGTTTGTGTTTTCTTTCATGGGTGGATTTGAGATTTGATTAGTTTTCTCCTTAAGGTGTTTCTTCTTTGTTCTTCCTGTCGTTTGCGTGATATCTCGATGGCTGTTGCCAAGATTTCCAAATATTCTGACGTGAGTGTCCTTTGTATCTTCATCTTTTTGTCCTCTATGAACGCTATGAGCTACAAATCTTCACCAACCCAGAAATTGCAGAAAACTGCAATTTTCTCAACACGAAAACGACTGGCTCGAAAAACAACTCGGGAATCTTCCAAGCCGGCACGCGTTAACGGCAACCGTAGCCGGTGAACATAGCCGTCTGTTATATGTCGCAGATGTGACAACGAGAGTTCGCTACCTCGTCGACACTGGTGCAGAAGCTAGCCTTCTCCCAGCACATCCTAACGACCGACTTCACGAATCGGCTTTAAACTTACAGGCGGCAAACGGAAAACCTATCGCTATGTTTGGCAAAAGGTACGTTTACCTGAACGTGGGTTTATGCAAACCCATTCACTGGATCTTCGTTGTTGTAGATGTTTCTTTGCCAATCATTGGTATTGACCTTCTACAACACCATTATCTAATCATCGACACGCGCGAACGGAGGCTAGTAGAGAGAAACACCAATTTTTCCGTTTGCGTAACCTCCTTTTCTGGTTGCAGATTATCCCCAGTTACAATTAATCAAATGATAGACCCACTTTATCAGCCACTACTCGATAAGTATCCTGGGATACAACAAACTCAACCGAAACTACCGTGTGTAACCAGCAACGTTACACATCACATCACGACTACAGGACCAGCTGTATTCTCTAAAGCACGACGACTAGCTCCTGAAAAGCTGAGGTTGGCGAAAAACGAGTTCGATCACATGATGGACTTAGGAATCATACGACCGTCAAATAGCCCATATGCATCTCTGTTGCACATGGTCGCCAAAAAGGATAGCAACGATTGGCGTACAACTGATGACTATAGGCGATTGAATGAGAAAACCATTCCTAATCGTCATCCGTTGCCTCACATTCACGATTTGACAGCTACTTTGAAAGGTACAACTGTCTTTTCGAAAATCGACTTGGTTAAAGCGTATAACTAAATCCCCATGGCCACAAACGATACACCGAAAACCGCCATCATTACTCCCTAGCATTCATGCCCTCTGTTTGGCCATGGAACTTCGCAATTGGAAATTAGGTAGGCGGTGGTCAAAAAAAATAATATTCTAGTGGATAGTGGTTAAGCAGAATGATTAATTTATAGTTGACAGTTAATCTTGTATCGCTTATACCAGTGGATAAGTTACAAAGGGATATGCGTTCGTGTTACCTTGTGGCTATACTCACGAGTGGTTGATATTTTAACAGACATATTACACAGAAGCATTCACATGCTGTTAGTGCTTGTTAAAGAACCACGATAGCCGATTATAAACGTAGTTGATCAGTTAGCTCTATCGATTGAACTAATTATTTAGGTTTAAATGCTAATCAACATTGACATGAAGCAACGAAAGTTCACTGTAATAGATTAACATAGGCGATGATAAAAATGAAAGAGAATAAGTATAGTATGCAATAATAAAGGTTATAGTGATAGGTTGCGTTATTCGAAGTCTTGTTCACCAGTGTAGATCGTCAACGTAGATGATCTATGTCGAAATGATTGGAGGCCTACTCGAGTTGGACAGAAATACATTAGTTAAAGTAGATACAAGCGAAAGTGAGACCACTGACGAGGATCGATGATTTGCTTGATATTCAATGACCCGACTGCCGGATGATTTGGCTAGGGCTTAGTGACAATTCGCTGGCCCTACAACACAATCGAATTCAGTCCAGCTTCTGAAACGCTTGTTTAGTATTATACGTCGAAACACCACGCTTATGTCGGCTGAAATATCTCTTGAGTATGATGCACTACAGACAGAACTGGGCAATTGTAGAAAACAGTTATTCATTGCCACACTTTAATAACTGAACTGTTAAGTTATTCTTAATATACTGTATTCATGACCCTATCTACTTTTAGACAAAGACGGTGAGGGCTAGCTGAACAATCGGTATACCAGACCAAGTTGATGTGACCTTCCAATGGCTTACAGCATCTTATATACTTTTGAATATTCTCTCAAACACCTACTTAAACTTATTTCCGTCACAAAACTCAGAGGTAACACCCAGAAACTGGAGACTCTACACGGTAGAACGGACTGAAGATACACTTTCCATTCCTTAAGGGTAACCAAATGCTGGTATTCACTGTCAACTGAGGTAATCCAAGGGACTTCCCAGGAGTTTGTTAAAAGAAAACTTGGCATATTCTTAAGGACTAAATATAGTATCTTAATATGGTTTGGCTTTTTTTTTCTTTTCCTCTTTGCCGATAATATACCGAGGTTCCTGAATGGAGGTGATGGTGATCTATATCGCCAGATCTATACAAAGAGCGTTTAGAAAGTTGAAACTCTTTACTCCATTCCATCGCAAACTAAGGGGAGATCTAATTTTGATGTACAGAAAACTGGCGAATGATTTTCGACCTAACTTACTCTCTTTCTTCCCATTAGATCGAGACATCTCAGAGGACATAGCAGGCGGGTAGAAAAGCCAAGAACGGACAAAATACCCGTAGCATACAGGTTTCCACACCAAGTCATCAATACTTCGAATCTGTTATCTTAAACATTGATGTCCGCACCTTCAATTGACTCATTCAAATGAAGATTGGACATTCATAAAAGCACACTAGAAGGAGGAATAACATAGGCCGTAGGCCTTCTGTCCTTGCTACACAAATCTGAATTTGAATTATTTGACTGGGCGCCTCATATTTTAGCGTTCAAGGTCGTTGGAACAAAACGGCGAGTGTTTTTAGTGAACCTGACAATGCTGACATACTTACTTAGTAGGTTCTTCTGTTCACCGTCTCCCAGATGGGGTCCAACAGGAAACGCCTAGAAGCCGCAATCGCAAGGCTCGATCGGTTTCCAGCGGTAAACATAACCCGACCTCACAGGTCGTCGATGACCCCACAAAATCCAGCACTTGGTTTGACGCAACTGTTGTTGCTTCTACCAGCACCGTTGACGAATGGGTACAGGTTGTAAGGAAGAAAAGTAGGAATATAAAACGTAACCCTGCTCCCGTAAAAGTAGTTGAAAAATCGAAAGCTGATCATAGCGACAGATCAGCTATTTTTCATGGAATCAAGGAGAGTGAGAGCTCTGAACCTGAAGCTGGTTTTGAGCATGACATTGTACCGATTAGGCAGCTTCTTTATCAACTCATGCCTCAAAATGTCACCGGGGTCACCTTGACAAAGGTGTACAGATTAGGGTGTCTAGCGGACTTGAAACCAAATCATTCAAGACTGCTCAAAGTAGTATTCAACTCTTCGAACGAACGTGACTTAATTTTACAGAATGGACACAAATTAAAGGGTTCAGAAGTCTTTATGCGAAAGGACTTACCGTTGGCAGACCGTGTAAAAAGACGAGAAGCCGGAAAACAACTACAACTTAGGTTAGACGCTGGCGAAAAGGACCTGAAAATTGTAAATTTTCGAGTTGTAAGGCTTCGACAGAGAATGATGCCGAAACTACTCTGGGTGAAGCACGAAGGCACTTAAACAGGCTTTGCATCTGTTACACCATTGCCCGAAGCTTGCTTAATAAGCGATCGGAACTAGGTGTACAGATTGACTCTACAAAGCCAGACATAATCGCAGTCACAGAAACCTGGCTGACACAGGCTATAGATAGTATGGAACTTGATTTCGACGGTTTTATGTTAGTAAGGGCCTACAGAACACAAAAGCGCCCAACATAGCTTTCTCCACAGGAGCAGATGAATTCGTAAATACACATAGAAGTGGTATAACCAGGTAACTTAGATCGGGTCAAGTACGATAGACGTCTGTCGCACTGAACTCCCTATCCACAACTCATTATCTGAGTAATCTTGCATCCTTATGATGCTCTATCCTGGTCCTCACAAATTTAAGTCTCTGATGCTAGTCAACATACAAGTTATAAAACTGAGTTTAAAACCAGCTTATCAAAGAAATTATTGTGTTCATTATAAAATTTTACCTGGATTTCGTAAATTCTTCTTCGAACCTTTTGTACTGTAAAAACATACCTTCCGTATTTAGGCAAAATTTTACATATTTGTGCAGCCTATTTTTGTGGTTCGTTCATTACAGGGGGAAATATATTGTATATATTAATTATTACAATTAATGTATATAAACAATACAACTGTCTAAGACTACTAAATAGATTTACAAACTGAGTTGTAAATCTTGTTGACGTCTTTATTATTGTTGGGGACGTTAGATCCCCAGAACTCACTTGGGAAACAACCTAATTTTGTAATTTTATTTAAAAAATTTGAGTTTCTTTGTTTTCGTGCCAAAGGCGCTCTTGTCACCTTCATGTCGTATTTCCCACTGGGAAATATCTTGAATGCTATTGGTCCGTTGTGTCATTTAGTATGCTATTTGGTCATTCTCCCCATGGACGGTTTTGCACTGTATATACAGGTTTGAATTGTGTTTGTTGTTATCGCTCGTCTCTGGGTTTTTTTTGCAGAATATACTTTCCATTCCAAGCTTGGACTTCTCCCTCTAGTTAGTGGGGCTGAGACGCATCAATAGCTAGCTTACTGGTCTTGGTCACCGAGTCTTGTTTCTCGTTCGCAGATTAAGTGAATTTGTGATAGCTTCAAACCAAGCAATTATTGAATTAAGTTGCCAATTATAAAAATAAATAAAAAACTGTTGGACATTCAGTTAAAGTTTTTACACTCCCATGTAGTAGGTAAACCATGGACGTGTGATTTAAAAAACTTATTTATCATCAGAATAATAGAAAGTGATGATAACTCATTTATAATTTTAAACAAATACAGTCATAACAAAAAACACATAGTGTACCTTCATTATTTATTTTCTTTTACAATCCGATGAGGCCAGTTAGTCAACTACAATGTAGGACCAGGCACATATATGCATCGATCCAAGTTGTCATACCTCATTAACACAACAAGATGAACACTGGATTCATAAAAGTAGTTAATTCAGTTGTGGTAATATATAAAAGAAAGATTACAGCAAGGATATAGTACAGGAAGAAAGAATTAGTTCGTAGAAAGAATGAAATGAAGCGATTTTAATCTCTTAGTTTAAGGGAAGACAGAGAGTGTATACACCGACACCATTGTGGTATGGTCGCCGGCATCCGATGGGGTAAGTGCTACTTTGACAATATATCTACTTTTATACTTGTACAGTAGAATAACTATGTGTATTTATTTAACTATCGTCATCTGAGATGTGGTTGTTTCAATAAGACAGCACTTTACTTGTCCGCCGACTGTAATACACACCACTTAGTGTTGACGTGGACTGTACACAGTCATTTTGTAATACATAGAATATTTTACGAAGTAGTATTTTTCTAACTTCTATTTAGCATATCACAGAACAAGAATACCAAGAGAGAAATAAACGTCTATGGTCTATTTGGTTACAAGCATACAAAGTACGTTTAAAAATAGATTTCGAAGGGAATCATGATAATACCAAAACACAATTCTCTGAACGTTTAAATTTAATGCAGTCTGTAAATCCTCGAGTAGTTCTACGTAATTATCTTGCCGAAGAAGCTATTAAATCAGCTGATAAAGGAGATTATACAGTTGCACAACAATTATTCAACTCATTGACCACACCTTTTAAAAATCCTGATATGTCTTTGAATAACGAGGTAAGCAGTAAAGATGCCAATTTACGTTTACTTGTTTTTAATCGAATTTTTCATCCATTCATCAAAATACCATTGATTTCAATTGATCACGGTAAAAACCAATGTCAATTTTTCCTGGCTCTTAGTGCGAATCAAGTCATTTTTAAACCAGTTCGCAATGTTGTCACTCGTTTAAATGACTCGATATCGAATGTTCTGTATTTTGACGTTGTATGTTTATCAGTAGTCAGTATGTAACTGTGCATCACGAAGAATATTAGGACAATAGTAGTTGTAGTGTCTGTAACAGTAAAAATACATTTGACATAAACAATGATTTATGAGAGGCAATAATGAATTCACTAGAAGGTCTGAAATTATTTCGAAACTCTGGATCTAAGAGAAGACAAAATAGTGAATGTATCTGCATTGTTGCTATTGGTTACTGGTTATATCACCTAACGCCTCAATTGGTCGATTTTCCACTTGTAGAATAATCTTTAATTGTTTAGTTCTATTTAAACTAGCCGTTGATTATCCTGAATGACAACTAAAATTCTGCAATTAAGCTGCTACAACCTTGGACTCCAGCGCCTATAAAATTATGATCGTGAAACATAAGTCTCTGTCATCCCATAGCTAAATAGATTTATTTACTAGCCATATCATTTAAAATTTTACAAATATTATCAAATCATGTACATTTATGTAACGCGGTATTATTTTACTTTCGGAAAATATCTTTCCTTTTTTGTAGTCTTTTCATCTTGTATCTCGGATTAAATACCGTCCTCCTGATTGGTCTCGTAAACTACGTGTTTCTTGTTCATCTTAACAGATAATAACATGTAAGCTTTGAAAATAAATATCCATCCATAGTGTATTTTAATATCTTGCTTCAATATACGATACTCCCAGATGTTCAACAATTTGGTTTTAAATTTCATTAACAACTACATCAAAAACACTAAATATTATACCTTTGTTTTATACTATCACTCATTTGTGTCAAGTTACTGTGTTGTTTAGGAGCTGTATTTTGTTAGTTGACTTCCGATTCTGTTGTGCTTCCAAAAAGAAAAGAATATGTTCTTGATTTGTGTTGGGGTTTGTGTGATCATGCCGTTACTACAAAATTAGTTGTACTATCTAGTTTGTTAGTTGATTAGTTTGTCCATATTTGTTTTAAGACCAGTGACCTTCTTCATCAAATTGCATAACAACTAATAAACAATAATCAGTAACTTAACACCTAGTGTCCTAATGGGAAAGTGAGGAGAAAAGGTAAATTCATTCTCTCTTCACACTCAAAAAGTATACTATAGTATACCTCGAAAACTCGATTTCACAGCATTACAAATAGAAAATTACCACTTATACACAACCCAGTCATAAGTGATACAAAAATAGAGTAATGAAGACATAATTGATTAGTTGTGTCTAATACCATAGGGTATATAGTACGAGTTTGTAGATTAGGCAAAAGCTAACGATTAGTAGAATATAAGAATCCCATAGTCCAAACTTCTATTAACTATACAATAAAAGTATGAGCAACTGTTTCTCGTTTAATAGTTTTCGAATCCAATCTTCCTGAAATCCTCTTCTAAATAACACGTTCATATTAAGGTCAGTAGTTACAGGAAGCTACACATATCAACAGATACAAAGCACACTCTTACACTTTATTACATAGGACTTCGATAGTCCACTTTTTTCTTAAAACTAAACACTTGAAATACGTGATTGTTTTGATTCTTGTCCACTACATATTTTTCTACTCTCTTCTAAATTTGACATGGCAGCATTCGTGTAACCTGCATATATTTGTACTACCGACACATTATTAAACACCGGTCAAGACGCATTCACATGAGCTCATTAGACCCTAAGGATATCATAACGCCTGTATCAGTAATGAGTCCTCCAGCTAATTGGATACTCTATTCGTTAATAGTAGTGACTATTGTAGGTAGCCTATAAATTACAATGATACAAAACCAGTTTCTCTTCGACTTGAAACAATCCAGTATCTTGATGTATATCTAGTTGCTCTCGACCAAGTGTGCTTCATCAAGTTTGCCTTGAATTTGCCCATGTTGAAAAAATAAGTCCCATTGACACCCAGAACAGTCATTATTAGTATCTTGTTCATATTGTTCAATATGTCGCGTGATGGCTACATAGAAACGGAGATACTATTTTATTGAACCATAGACCATTTCAAAGCTGTTGTGGCGATCTCGTGTTATCGACAGAATACCGAGATCGTGCCAGGTTACAAGTGTGGTTACTGAGCGTAACCGAATTCGTAAAAGGTCACAACCAACAAAAGAATGTATGTATTTTGGTACAGTTAAACAACAATTATGGTAAAACAATCCCTGGTACAATTGGTTATAATAATGATTGTTTTCATCACACCAATCTCGTTCTCTTGATAAAAGTAGGTCACTACAGCTGTTCAGGGAGATCTGATGAAAGTTATTTCTACCCAATGTTTTGTAATTAAACATTGGATTAAAAAGCTGAAATGTTGAGAGTGTGTTTCGTTTATGCTTATTATAATTACTATTAACCGCAAAACTTACGCATAAGTGTTGTGAAAGAATGCATTCATACACGAGAATTTCAACAGTGTTTACATAATATCTACAATATCTTAACTAGTTCTGCAATCTTCAGATGTTTATTGACTTCATGTCATAATGTTTTATTAAATCTTTGTGAAAGTGAATCATAATAAGTAGTATTATATGTATTACACATAGACTTTAAAATACACCACCATTGTGCTAAGACTTGACAGTACAATAAGAGTTTAAGCAGCAACAGTTTGAATATGAAGATGAGAGTTTTAATTAATAATAAAAGATCATCAGATATTGATCCATAGAGGTCTTATATATGTGGCAAAGGTAAAACGAATCTAAGAAGTCGATTTATTTAAGTAAGTGTAATACGAGGTTTCATCTTTCGCCAATTAAGAATTCTGGAAGATTAAAATATCTTCGGTGTGTCAATCATAATGATAACAAATAAGGGCATAAGCGGACTTGGGATATTTTTATGAAAAGTTCGAAGGTTCCGCTTCGCTTCACAGTCAATTAAATAGAAACGGTACCTGCATAAATCATTGGTAATATTTCAAAAGAGTGTTTAGCAAATTACGAAGAAATTTTATTTAGGTCCTCAGGGTCGATATCATATTTTCCTTAGTGTTCAGGTTGTGGAATCATATCATCGGGTACGAAGGGAGTGAATGCCGAAGAGTAGGAAATCCCAAGTCGGTAAAGAACGATCAAGTTAACTTAATTCGCCTAATCCAAAGAGGTTAAAACCTTTAGCTTACCACAGCTTCCGTGATGATCTATATTAGCGGAACACTCTAAAGACGTTCCTCTGAATCCTCTTAAAACACCTTCAATTTTCAATAAATCGTTATACCTTTAATTACTGCAGACTAGAATAACATATTCAAGGAAGGAGTTTGATGCATTTCCATGTGAAAATCTAGATTCAGTGTTAAGTAAGGTCATCATATGAGCTTTCTTGCTTTTGATATTTGGGTTGCTCTGCGCTCAGAAAAGTCGCTATGCCATACATACAAATCACGAACAACGTTGGGGAATTTCGGCACGTTTTTGTGTAGAACCATATTAAGGGCAGCGGCCGATTTAGATGACTACACTTTTGTCAACATTCACTGACAGGCTCCACAACAGACCATTCTCACAATTTGTTTATGGCTCCTGAGATTACCGCCAAAACATAGCTATCTCTGGTGGAAGTCGAGCACGAATAAACCACTTCACTCCATCAACAAAAAGAAGATGTCTGTCGTATCAAGAGGGTTAGCCAAATATCAGAAGGCATTTGATGGCTGTAGTCGAGATGTGTTTGTTGGCGATCTCGTGGTATCGAAAGAATACCGAGATCGTGCCAAAGGAGTACAAGTTTGGTTACTGAGCTTAACCGAACTCGTGCAAGGCCACAATCAACCGAAGGAAGTATGTCTTTTGTGCAGATAAACAAGCAAGTACAGTAAAACAATCATCGGTACAATTGGTTATAATAATAATTTTTTCCATTATACCAATCACATTCTCTTGATAAAAGTAAGTCACTACAAATACATGAATCATATGCTTAGTTACTGACGAGTTGAAATTTAAAATATCCCTATTCGTATTGTGACTGTAATAATATCATCGTATTTTTTACGTGGAAAGTAAAAATACACCATGCATAATATCACTCTGTAGTAGTAAATAAACTCTGAAATAAATAGTTCTGCAAGTCTTCGACATTTGACACTGATCGCATTGCTTTTACTAGAATCATGAAGCGCTCGGCTACGCATCCGCATCATATCACGAATGGGTAAGCCGTGCTGCGCATCTCCTACAACTGTTGGTCAACATAGATCAAATTCTTCTCGAGATATTGATAGCCTATAAAATATATCTTCAATTGTTTCGTGATCATTGATTAGTTTACAGTTGTTCCAGTGTAGAGCGAAGAATGTTTACATGGTCAGTAAACCAACAATTTACACGGGAGCAGACGTCCTTATGATGTGCTAAAACGTCTCTCATTGCAAACACTACAGAGTATGATGACAGTCGTCAAATTGAAAATAATTCTCTGCACACTACTTCAATGATCGTCGTTTGGATTGAGTAAGCTCTGTACAAAGATAAAAATCACATATACATCATCGCGATAGGGCACTGTGCATTCCAGATATATTTCCAATCTACGCAATCCATTACCAGATGAGAGGGTTAAACTCCATACTTTAAAGGAGCCAAGTTGCTTATTATTCTATGGCGTTTTGGTAGTTGCGAACCGATTGAAATGTAGTGGCATTGTGCCCTAACCATACAATCCTCAAAGCTGAACACGAGACAACTCGGAAAATAGATATTCAATATTTAACGCGGAGAAATACCTAACGATGGAGAAGGCGGCAAGGACGAATTGGAGTTGACCGATTGGCATGGCTCAGCCATGCAGGCGTGGTCCCTGCTGGATGTTACCTTATATCTTTTATTCATATTAAATATATTGTTCTTTCTCTAGCCTAACTTTGTTCTCCATCATGTTTTGGTAGTTGTTACAATGTAGTGAGTTGGTGTAGACGATGATGTGACTTCGACGTAAGGTCTCATAGATTAGGCAGTTATATCACGATAAGTCTACAATTTCGGAATTAGGTCTATTATCAGAGCAGTACTTATAACGAAATAGACCATGAATCCGCACTGGTAAGCCCGACTAAGGAAACTCAACCTATTACTACTAATCCTCATTTTCACTATAACTTTCGCGATCGATTTTCACTTATTTTAAACCTGTATTCTATTAGTCCCTTGATTACTGCTCACGTGTGTTAGTGTAGTGTCACGCTGATTAATATTCATAACATACTAACCCAATCGATACCAATAAACATCAGGCTGGAGCAAATATGACCTGTTAATAACCTGAATATACATTGACCAGCGACCTAAGCAAGGACTAAATAGTTACCTGGATCTAATTCTTCATATGGTTCCTTCACTTAACGCCTCATTCTGTCTTTAACTATGCACCATCCTGTCACATCTCTTCTTCTGATCACTGCCTGCCTAATTTCCAACTTTCGAGTTCCATTGCCAAATTACATGGCAGAAACTTGCAGTGAGTCTGGAAACATTAGATCTTTTTGGATGGTTCATACACTAACAACCACTTAGTTATCTGAACCCATTCAACTGTTGTGACTTGAGTGAGTGACGAAAAGGTTAACAGCACTAAGCACCCTGGAATTGATTGCCATACTGCATGTTTTATTCTAGATGCATTTAGATCATTGCTACTCGTCACGAACGGCCTTACATATGTCGTTCATTAAACTTAATTTTCCAAAATAATCCATGCGAGTTCAACTATTTTACGGGATGGCATATTGTACTAACATTTATATAATTCCCAGTTGCTTTAGCCACAAATTTGTAAATGTCACTAGGCTAAATACAGAAACTTCTTATGGAAAGTTTATAGCGCGTCATATTCCTGCATGACGTTTTATAAGCATGTTGAGACATACTTTTATCAAGAGAACGCGATTGATTCAATGGAAACAATAATTATTATAACCAATTGTACCAGTGACTCTTTTAGTGTACTTCTTTGTTTAACTGTACTAAAACCCTACCTTTTCCGTGTACTGTGACCTTGCACGCAT